TCTCTTTTTTCAGTTTATGGGCCAACCATCTCCCCAATTTGTTAGCATGCTCAGAGTAGTTTTGCTTCACCATCCTTAAGTTCCGTACCATTTCATCCTGTAAAATTTAGGTTTATTTTATGTTTAGTCACTTCCCTCTCCTTTTTAATTTCTTCATTTTGTGGTTCTTTTTGCATTCTATGTTCCAATTCTTCATATTTCTCTTGTAGTTCTGTTGTTGTTTTTCTTGTCTTTATTCTTTCTTGCTACATATGTGATTGTTTAGGCTTTGAATGTATGCTTTGGTTGTGTCCCATAGATCTTGTAATGTTGTTTGGTCTTTTGCATTATCTTTAAGAAATAGTTTTAGTTCTTTTTCTAACATTTGTACATAATTTTTATCCCTAAAGGAATTTCTGATTTAAAATCCATCTTCCTCTCTTTTTTCTCCCTTTCCATTTCACTATAAGTGGATTATGGTCTGCCCATGAGTTCGGCAGTATTTCTATTTTCTCTATATTTTTCTTTTGATGGATTTTCTGAATCCATCCACTCCATATCAATCCTAGACCAAGGAACTATGTGCGTTTGAGAAGAATGTGTATCGTCTCTCCTGTCTGTTGAGTTCTCTCCACGTGTCTTTTAAATTAAATTCTTGTGCCAATTTATGAAATGTGTTTGATAGCGTTTTCCTCTTTTTCTTGTTTTTTTTTTAGTTGTGTGGTCTTTTTCTATATCTACAACTGCATTGACGATGCAGTTATGATACATATATACATATATTTTCCTGTTCTACTACCTTCCAATGCAGCTTACTGTAATATTCTTTTTAGTTGCTATTCAGAGCGTAAATTGCTATTAATAATACTTTCTTTTGGTTTATTTGTATTTCTACCATTAAAGTTCTTCCTTCATTGTCAGCAAATATCTGGTTCGGGTTTAACCATTTTTCTATATACATTGCTATCCTTCTTTTCTTTTTCTGTGCCAATGCAAGATGTAACTTTCCCAATTTAGATGATTCTAAAATATTGTTATACTGTTATTCAATGTGAACTTCTTGCAAACAGATAATATCAGCGTTCTGTTTCTGGAGTTTAGTGAATACTTGTTTTCTTTTAGTTGGAGCATTTAGTCCATTTATATTAAACGATAAAAGAATAATTTCTTTGGCCATATTATTGTTTGTACTGAGTTCTCTCCTTGTTCTTATCTCTCTTTGCAACCATGTCTTTATCCTCTACTTCTTGTTGTTCAATTTCTTGTCATTCTTTCACTTCTTGATTTGATCCCTTTTCTTCCACTGATTGTTCCTCCTGGCTTCTGCTCTCTATCTCTTCTCTACTATCTTGTTCTTCATCCAATGTCAAGTAGTGCTCATAAAATTCTTGTGCTTTGTCCAGTGTTTCAATACAAATTTTCTTTTCCTGCCAGGAAATCAGAATACCTTTGGGGATAAGCCATCTGAACATTATTCTGTTTTTAATTAGCCATGATGATAAGAAGTTATAGTTCTGTCTTTGTTCCCTTAGCCTCCTGGGGACCAGTTTTAGCGTCACAATTTCTTTTCCTTTGTATGTTCTTCCCTTGTTTTTTTCATCTCTGGTAGTCTTTCTTGCGAACCTTTACAAGTACCTCTCTTGGTAGCTTGAGTCTCGGCACATAATTGGTGTAAATTCTGTAGACTTCGTCAATATCATTTCTCATTTCTTGCATGGTCTTCTGTAGTGCATTGTACAGTTCTGCCATCAGATTTGGGAGGTCTTCTTTATGTTCAACTATATTTTGAAATTGTAGGAAGAATGATGATCTTTCCATTTCTAGGTGTGTAATAGTGTCCTCCAGATTCCTATTTGCCTCCATAAAGTTTTGTTCCGTCGTTTCTACTTTCTTTTCTAAGTGGCCTGTTCTGACTTCCATCATTTTTATTTTCTGCTCATTCTTCGCTATTGCTTCTTGTATTGATCCCATCCTATCATCTAGTTTGCGAATGTCTCCTCCTATTTCGTCCATGCCACCTTTCATTTCTTCATGGTTATTTGTTATAGATTCTTGTGTTTTCATCATCATTTCCTGCATCATGTTCAAAGTTGCTTGTAAGTTCTGTAGGCTTAGTGTTGTTCCTGATTTTTCTCTTCCCAGCATGCTTTCTATCAACATTTGGCCTGATGGAGAAGGCATCGTTGACGTTGATTTTTTTCCCTGTCTTCATTGTCATCGTAATAGTAGTTGACATTCTCAAGATTGCATATAACTATGTCCAAAATACCATATATTTCCAACCAAACTGGGCACTATTCTTATATCTATATCTATGATAGTAATTTATGTAAAATATGTACTGTACTGTCTATAAGACTCCTTTACTCTGAAGCCCCAGGATCTATATTTTTATACCTTCTGTACTGTATTAATCTTAACAACTATATATCATTTACTTAATTCTAAATAGTTATACATCAGTAATTAATTTGGCCTAGTTATATCCCAATAGTATAATCAGTATTCTGATTATATAAAGTAATCAATATAATACAATGCAATTGATGCAGTAAGTCTGATAATTCTCTGTTAGACTGCTGCGAGAGTCTAGTGTGGGATGTCCTTGTCTCCTCGTCACATGACTGAGTCTGCCAAATTATTGACCTTGCCACCATTGCTATGGTTACCCCAGCTTTCTACTCAGTTCACTCATCAAACTAGTTGTGTTCTAAGGGCTCTCTTAGAGCCAAAAGCCTTGAAAATTAGAAAAAAATCAATTTGAGAGAAAAAAGCTGTGATCAGCTTTAAAAACAACAGATGATCGGCGTGAAGTTAGTATTGAGTCCTGGAGACTCGGGAGCGCTGAGAGGACCGTGTGAGGGCTAGAAGGGCTTCTCCTCCCCCAAGTTGATTCCAGGGCCAGAGATAGTTTCCTGGCGCTGAGGACACCAGTGGACAAACCTACGAGACTATAACTTGTTGTGGGGAGCGAGTGGAGCGGCGATAGGGGTTACATTGCTCTAATCGACTAATTCTCCTTTTAAACGCTGCCCAAAGCTGACTGGTGGTCATCACAGGGTGCAGCCTGCCACAGCTGACTGGTGCTCATCACAGGGTGGAGAGATCAATCCCTGCCTTATTCTGCAGCCTCACAGCTATCTAGCCTGCATGGCAGGAGCAGAAAGTAACTGGATTGGCAGTACCTTAAGCAGAGTTATGGAAGGGGAAGCAGGCACAGAAGAAAACCTATCCCCTGCAATGGCATAGGCCTTTCAAGGCACAGAAGGAGAAGATTTCTCAGCTTAAGGAACAGCAGATAGAATTAGAGGCAGGCCTATTGCCACGAAGGGAAAAATTTAAACGGAGAACATGTAGAGAAAAGAAGGCATGAGACCCTTGAAAGGAGTTTGCAGAGGGTCGGGAGCAAAGGTATTGTGGTTAGCTGACAGCAGGTGTGGACAGCCAAGGAGAGCAAGGACTCAGATGCGGGGCCAGGACCATTAGGGAATGGACTGTTGCCTTCAGAGATTGTGGGGGCTGATAGCAGCAATGAGGAGGTTCCCCAGGAGCCTGTGCCAAGTGTGTGTGCGCACAGGATTGCTCACAGGAAAGAGCAGCTGCAACAGCAAGGGCGACTCGGGAGTAAGGCTGCAAGGTAATGGCCCCTCCTTCAAGAAGATAAAAGCCAGCTGTGAAGCAAACGTTCTTTGCAGGAAGCAAAGACGTTTTGAAACTCAGCCTCATGGACATTAGAGTATTTGAAGACTCTTGTGTTTTGAAATATTTCTTATCTGTGATTCTTGGCAGTCTCGTACAGTTTTGGCAAGGTTTGTGCTTATCAAAGTTAATTAGTTTGCAGCAGACTTTTAACTGGGGATTCGTAAGACTCATTAAAAAGTTTCTGTTCCCTTTGGTTTGTCTTATTGGAAAAAGGTTTGGGTCAGAACAAAAGATTTTAAAGGTGGACCGTCATGGTGTTTTAGATTTATGAGACGAAAAGATCTGTCCATCAGAGCGCGGACAACTGTCTGTCAGCAACTCCCTTCCGACTATGAGGAAAAAGTTGCAAACTTCCACAAATTTATTGAACCAAAACTAGCTGTGAATTCCATTGGACCAGATGACATCATAAATATGGATGAAGTATCTTTAACATTTGACCTGCCTCTAACTAGAACTGTTAACAAGACAGGAGCATCATCCATTATGGTGAAAACAACTGGCCACAAGAGAACACATTTCACGGGTGTTTTGAGCTGCACCGCATCCGGAGAGAAACTTCCACTGATGGTGATTTTTAAGCGGATGACTATGCCAAAAGTAAAACTCTCGAAAGGCATAGTCGTTAAAGTTAACAAAAAAGGGTGGATGATAGAAAGCCTAATGACTGAATGGCTGACGGAGTGCTACAGTAAGCACCCGGGAAGATTTTTTCACCGGAAAAAATCATTGCTTGTTTTGGACAGTATGAAGGCCCATATAACAGATTCTGTGAAAGCAGCCATCAAGAGGACAAACTCAATTCCAACTGTGATTCCTGGAGGTACAACTAAGTTTTTGCAGCCATTCTACATCAATTTGAATCGTGCATTTAAAGCAGCACTCCGAGGTGAGTGGGAGGCTTGGATGACCAGCGGTGAGAAATCATTCACAAAAACTGGCCACATGCGAAGAGCATTCTTTCTGTGTAAATATGTCATTTCACAACGTATATATCTGCAGCTTATAGTCGTGCGGCTAATATATGTAAAAATATTTTTTTCTTTTAAAATTTAGTGGGCACGGCGTATATTCCGATGTGCTCTATAGTCCAGTAAATACGGTATTTTGAGCTATTGCCCAAAATTCAATCTACACATACATAACAATACATTAACAGTGTGGCATCAATATATCATACATTTTAATATAGACAAAATTAATAATACCAATCATGTCTCTCAATGCTTGTGTTCACATTAAATCACAATCCAACAATGCTTATTTTCAACCTTTCAATATTCTCTCCAAGTGCCTACCACCATATCAATTAAACATACCTAATTTTTTTTAACATAAAGAATTCTTATTTGGCAAGCAGTGTAGTTCCAGGTTTCACATCTCAATACAAATATGATCTTATTTGTTTAATTTGTTTAATTTCATATTACATCATCTTTATTATTATTAAATATTAAGCTTATCCAATTCCAATTCATGTTATATCTTTCCATTTTTCTAAGTACGTTCTTCTATTTTTATTTTACAATGTTATTTAAAATTCTCATCTCATTTCTATTCATTTATTCAATTCCAATTCATGTTATACCTCCTTCCACATTTCTTAGTATATTCTCCTATCTTATTTTACAATGTTATCTAGAATTCTCATCTCATTTCTATATTCATTTCTCATATTACTTTTTCCTGTCACATTTGTTATTTTATCCATCCTTATCTATGAATATAATTGTCCTCTTTGGTTAATAATTTGAGCTAACCACCTTCATTTTACCTTAATATCAATCTCCCTATTTGATATATAACACAAATCTATATATTTTCCTCAGATTCTGCATTACATTTTTTTAACATTTTATAAATCATCTATACATTATAAAATACTTTTCTACTTTCAACATATTCTTATACATCACATTACCTTGCAGAATCTCCTTATCCTTTTTTTTCACCCTTTGTCTCTCTTTTAACAATGTAGTCTCTTTTCATCCTTGTTTGCTTCCTGTTCCTCTTTATTTTCCGGCCCTTTCTATTAATTCCCTTTTCCCCCATTCCTATTCCCCTCCATTTCTCATTCCAATTGTTAAACTTTTCTCTTTCTCTCTTTCTGTTTCCCTTTTCAGCTTTTTCCCTCTCTTTTTCCATTTTTCAAACGATTCTCCCTTTTATCATTCCAACAGACCACAAATTCTTAATTCTAATTCCTTTTTCACCCTGCTTAAATAATTGTTGTTCCTTTTGTCCTTCAAAATTGGCTTCTTCTTTGTAGAACTAACTCCTACCCCTCTGGTTTACTTTGTTCTTGTGTATGCTGAGTCGCCATTTCTAATTTCTATAATGCGTAGTTGCACATTTCAAGTTTAATTTTTGTCATATCCCTTAAATCTTCCAAATCCAATCTTATATCTTGTAAGTCCAATCTTATATCAACAAATAGTTCCTCCATTATATCTTCTCCTTTTTCTTTTTCTTTCTTCTTCCTTAATAGCTATAATCCTCTTCTTTAATCAATATATTCAATCCCAGAGTCCAGTGTGTTATTTCAGCCAATATCCTTTTTTTCAACAATCCAGATCTTCTAATTGGCCCTTTTCTGATTATTTCCCCAATTATCGGATGATTCTATGACAATAATGGAGGTTTTGTTTTTAACTTTCTTTTAAATTCCAAATTCCAAATTCTTTTAATAAAGTTTTATTGAGTTTTAACAAAACAAATAAAACATCTTATTTGAGTACAGCATCGTTTTGGGTTGTCACATTTCCATACAGACACAATTGTGCATATTCATCTTATGTATTCAATTTCATATCTTATTACTCTTTTTCCAACTTCTCACTATTTCTCCCTTTACTTCTCTTTTTTTTATGGTTAACTCATTTTCTTCTTATTCAATTGTATTTCTTTTACCTAAATTTCTATATCTTTTTTATTCATTGTACTTATACTTTTGTCTGTCTTGTTTACAATTTCATATGTTCTCTTCCAACATTCTTAAGAAGGAAAATTCCCCCTATGATTGCCAATCGAAGTGCAACACCTTTAAATCTTATTGTTTTTATCATATGAAATCTCATTAAACATTGAATTTGTGCATTCTAAAATTATAACATTCAATTTCTAATATCTATTTTATATCATGTAGATCTCATCATTCAGACTCTGCTTGGTACTTTCCCTTGAAAATGTAAAAAGAAAAATTCTAAAAACATAGCAAAAACTATATATATAGATATATATATGTATGTATGTATGTATGTATATGTATGTATATGTATATATATATATATAAACATTAGTAAACAAAATAGTTATTCAAAATCATTCTAGTACTGGTATGAACCTTGTAAATCTTTCACGTTTCTTTTCAATATCTATCTATCTTTGAGAACAATTGAAATGTTTCCCTCCCTTCTTCATTATTACTTAACTGTTAATAAGCATACCATTGGATAGTCATACAGTTTTATCTTATAAATTATTTACTATTAATAAGCAAAATAAGTATTCAAATTCATTCTAATAACTGATATAAATTTCCTTATAAATCTTTCACATTTCTTTTCAATATTTTATCAATCTTTAGAAACAATCTTATCCAGTCACGTTCTTCTTTGAGGTGGCCATTTCTGACCACCGCTGCAACTGCCTTTGGGGAAGGGAGTTTAGACCAGCCAAGGATGCAGCTCCCCTCCACTCGGCTAGCAATCTCCCCCCCTTCACCCCCTCTATGGGGTAGCTTCAGCCCTGAATCCAAAGGACCGGAGTGCTCCAGTGGCGAGCACAGATCGAAACTGTGCACGATCACGGATTTTGGTCTGTTGCTGAAGAGACCCAAACCAGAAGTCACAAAATCCAAACTCTTGAGAAGACCAGACACTGTTTTTTAAAAAATACTGAAATTTTCCTGTACCATTGGGTGGCGCTCTTGCGTCTTTCTACCTTTACCTTTCTTTATTGAGTATAATACTTTTATTAAGTTCGCTAAATTCAATAATTAGCTATTAATTCTTTTCTTTTTAACACACTCAATTTCAGCATTTAATTATGCCCTTGAAGTGCCAATAGCTCAATATTTATCCAGTTTAATTTCTAAACCTTTGTTGTGTTAAATTATTTTCCTTTAAATTTTCTGTTCCAAGTTAATCCAGTACAATAATTCAATCCGAATTTTATAAAATCCAATTTCCTTCTCACTTTCTCTGGTCACCGCCTCCACACACTTTCCCCCAAAATAGTCCTTTATTTCTAATACCAGGGTACAACAAAAACAATGTCTTCTGCTTGCTGCTTCTTCGCTCCAGCACAGTCTTAGTTTCCTGGAGTGTTCTTCATCTTCGTAATGGCCATTTTAAGACCACCACTGCAGCTTGCCTTTGGGAGAGGTTTTCCTGTCAGGTAGGAGTGTTGCGACTCTCCTCAACCTTCCAAGTGATTCCTCCCTTCTTCACCACCCCTCCAGGGTGGTTCTGGTCTCAATTGGGACCCTCCAGCAAGTGAGCTGGGGGAAACCATGCATGGTCACGGATTCTCAGTCAACGAACAAACTGGAAGTCATGAATTCTTGATAAACATCAAGAAGAGCCATCTGCTTCTGACCAACTGACTCCTCTGCTTGGGAGCAATGTTAGACACGGTGTCCTGTGAGGTCTTCCTGTCTCCAGATCGTCAGCAGAACTGGAAGCTCTTGGCCAAGCAGATTCAGGAATGTCAGACTGTGCCCCTGTCTATTCTATCTCAGCTTTTGGGGCAAGAGGGTATTGTGCATATCCATTGTACCATAGGCAAGGCTTCATGCACGTTCTTTTTACAATGGTTCCTTCTTCTTTATCAAAGGTCAGGCAGGAGCCATTCGGCCATCAAAGTGTCGATCCCCAGAGCGGTTCTTAGGTCCTTCCGGTGGTGGCTGTCACCAAGCATCAGTGTGGGCCAGCTCTTCAAGGTGCCCAGCCAAGTAGCCATCTCCACGATGCCAGACTTTGCGGCTGGGGAGCTAATCTTTATTCATAGATGTCTCAGGGGCAGTGGTCTCAGTTGGAGAACACTCACCCCATTAATTGGCTGGAGCTCAGAGCCAGCCATCTGGTGCCCTCAAACAGTTTCGAGGCAGAGTAATTGGGACCCATGTACTTACAATGACGGACACTGTGGCAGACAAGGCACAACTCAACCATAAAAGGGGGACCAGGTCCAGGGTCAACAAATTTTGGTACAGGCAGATTGGCTTAACAGGACCAAGATAGACCACTCCAAATGGCTTCTTCATCAGGACCTATTCGGGAAATAACTGGGATTTTTGGATCCCCAATCGTGGACCTGTTGGTTTCCCCAGACAATGCCCACCTCCCCAGGTATTTCACCAGGTTGCCCACACCGGTGTGGAAGGGATCAATTCCCTTCAGTGCCAGTGGCTGGAGAGTCTTCTGTATGAAGACTTCCTCTTATTCCATTTGTAATCATGAAATTGTGGTGGAGAGGGCAGAGGTGCCTGGCCCCTCATTGGCCCGATCATCCTATTGGTGTCCCCTCCATGGAGGGTTCCCCCGTCCAAGATTTCCCTCAGTTGGAGGCCCTATTACATCCAGAGCCTCTATGGCTTCAGTTAGCTGTATGGAGATTGAGCTGGAATCATTAACCAAGGACAGCTTCTCTGCCAGGGTCTTAGATACTAGGCATCTAGGAAAGCTTCTACCAATCACATTTATGATGCTACTGGAGGATATTTTGCATGTGGTGTAATTATAATGGTAATTAGTAATAGATAATTAATAAAGTTAATAATCAATTGATACCAACACAATTTCCAATATTAATAATAATTAAGTAATAACCTCATTCACAGTCTTATTATAATTAATCTAATTAACTCAATTGTATAAAACTATAAATTCGTATATGGGGAAAAAATGAAGCAAAAAATAGATATCGGTATATATCATAAATTATAAGTCATAGTCCACCAATCACGATACCTCTTATTCTCTATTGTGGTGGAGATAGCATTCAGGATTAGGTCACCTCTTGCTGATTGGACTGATTCTGTCAAGTCTTTGAAGACACTCTCCCTGTTGCTAGGGACATCCCAGAAATTAACTCAGTCAGCTTGCTGGATGACATGCTAATTTCTGTTCCTCAAAGAACCAAATTTGGATCAATTCAATTCAAAAAACAAAGGAAAAATATCACCAATCCTGAATACTATCGACAATTAAGGACTGGTCTACTTGTTTGACAGCTGCTAAAGACAGCACGGTTGGGGGTTCGGCCCAGACCATTGGACAACAGATCGGCTGAAGGCCAATCTACAATGGTAGAGGTATTTTAGTGGGAGGTGTATAGAAACACCATCCACACTGTATCCCCGCGTTTTGGCTTGGAAGGAGCTCTCAGCGGCTTCAAATGGCCACAGCAGATGCCTGTTTTTTACCGTGGCAACGTTAAAGGGGCAGAAGACAGCAGGGAAACAGAAAATCTCTTTGCAG